CAACTCCACTCGCGTAGTGCCTGCCACGAAGCTTGTCATCGCGTTGTGGTTGGCGCCAAAATGCGTATCTTCCGGATGTACTCCGGATGACCAGCTTGAGCTACTGGCACCCACCTCATGGTGTGCAAGGGTCTGCCGTTGAGAGAGGGATCATTTTGAGCGCGATGACGTGGTCGCAGGACAAGGCGACCGCGAGGTTGACGGTGGCATGAGCGCCGACGCCGATCTCCTGGATGCAGCGGTAGTCGTCCATCGCGTTGCGTCTTGCAGTGGCTGGTCCAAGTTTCAAGCTGGCAGTTTCCTGTATCAAAAACTGAGACTGCCAAATGTCATGTGTTATCAAAGGTTTTGAAGACCTTGCACCTTGAAGCCAGCCTTGAAGCCATGCCTGGAAGCACGTTATGCGCTGCATCCTGGCCGGAAAGGGAGGGGTAGCACGATGCTCTCAAAGGAATACATAAATTATCGCGCTCTCTCGGCTCGCGACATCGAACTATTTCGCTTAAGGCGCCAACATGGGAGCGCGCCAAAAGCGTTGTTGGACGCGAGCACAGTTGCGTGTGATTAGTCCGTAATCCGCAGCATCCGGTGCACCGTCGCCGTCGGGAATCGATCTTGCAAGCTGCTGCGAGCGCCGAGACCGCCACGATTTGGCATCCAAGAGCTCGACGCCCGCTCTCGAGCAGCCATTAACAAAGTAGCCGCCATCCTTGGACGTTGCACCACGGTGCATCATAAGGTCTAGTACGCTGTAGCGTGCCTGGATAGATCACTGCAGGCATTCAAGACGCGCCGCGACTACATTGCAGATGCAAGATCTCAAGAGTGCTTACTCCAAATGATATGTATGACCTTGCTATTGCTCGCAGAATTGAAGCCATGCACTCGTGATTCTTCAATTGGGTTGGTGCAACCACTTCTTGATCCCATCGTATTGAACACCTCGACACAAAGCGTACAAAAGCAAATACACTCCCGCGTTCTGCATCCCCAGTCCGATCCCATTGCATATGAGGTTACGGCGTTCAAGATCTTTCGGATACCCCTACGACGCGAGCCCG